ATATGAATAAATAAATCTTTAAAAAAAAATGTCTCACCCAGCTTTCTCAGAAGACAGCCAGCCAACTGTTCTTCATCAACATTCACATCTTTCTCACTGGAAGGAGCAGGGGTGAGAGAACAGCAATGAGCATCGAGTACAACAGAATCTAAAATGTCACACAGAGTGACAGGCACGTAGCTGTCACGTGGGCCCACTCCAAAGAAGTTTTTACAACTTGGACATGACTTGCAATTCTGGAGTGATTTTCACTTTTCAGATACTTTTCATAGTCCTGAAATAGTGCTTGCAATTTGGGGTCCTATAGTCTCAATTATAGGGTGCTATTCACTAGTGAGTCCAAAACTCTTTCCAGTCCAGCCTCACTGTAAAGAGAATTACATCTGATCACAGGACACACACAAAGGGCAAATCCTGCCTGGGGAGATCACACTTCCGTACACACACCCACTCCCCATCTCCGCATGTGACCATCAGAGCCAGGCGCGGGCACACGCGGGCATTTGACCTGTGGATATCTTTGCGAAAAACACGAAGAAAACTGTATTGTATGTTACACACATACGAAAACACCAGCCCAAGTTAAGCATTTCCTCTCTGAACTTGCCTCGCTTGGAGAAATGCTTTTATTGTGAGCTTCCTTCATTCCCTTCCAAAATAACTGAATTCAAAGAAACTGAATGATACGCAGCACGTTTCTTAAGAAGCAGGCTTAAGGAAAAAAGCAGGGCGCCTAAGTTGACGCAGCAGAAAGCACCAACCCAAGAAGAAGCGAGACCCCCTGCAGGAACCTGCCCCAGGAAGGCCGGTCACTGGCGCCCAGCCCCAGCCCGGGGAGCGAGACCCACAGGCGCGCACGGAGACCCATTCCCAGCATTCGGGTCTCCTCCGCGTGGCGGCCCTGCGGACCAGCAGCGGGCAGCTGAGCACAGGGAGCCGGCTGACCCACGTGCCCAAACCTAGGCCTGCCGGTTTCCAATCGCTCCATCCATAAGGAAGCTGAGAGGTGACCCTCGCTGTTCGCCGACCATGAACCTGCACTTCACCTACTTGCTGAAATGTAATTGTAATCCCCGAGCAAGTGCCAGCAAGGCTCCCCGGGGTCAGCGGGTATGTGCAGAGGATGCAAAAAAACTCAGCTGCAAACGGGGGGGTGGGGGGGTGGGGGAAAGTGCACGGGATTGTGGTGATGGCACACGGGGGACTTGGTGATGGGAAACCTGCGGGGGATTACAATTGAGATGGGGAAAAATGTACAAAATGATGGAAAAATAAACTGTTGTAAAATAAAAGTAGTCATAATAATATAATAATAAAATAAAACTGGAAGAGAAAAGAGAGAAAAAAAAAAACAACGAAAACGCCGCAGCTTGACACTGTCCGGCTTGATCTGAAAAGGCGCCTTGCCCCGACTCAGCTAGGACCAAGGGAGGCAGAGGCGGTGGGCAGCCCGGTCCTAGCAGAAGTCTCAGCTCTGGCATCCGCCCATGGGGTCTCGGGCAAGCAGCCGACACTTGTGGGGCCGCTTTTCTTTGCGAGGTAAGGCAAACGTAATCTCCCACAATGAGTGCTCTAAGGCTTGAAGTTCACAACCCAGAGACACGTAACCGTACGTGTTCACATACAGATCGAACACAGACGGGCACCGTGACTCCGGGAGTGCTCACTGTTCGCTAAGGCCACGGCCACGGCCACTTTCCAGACTAACTACTGGGAATACCGAGAACCAACTGCATTCACGGAGCAAAGAAACAAGGAGAAAATGTCCTAAGCAGATGAAAAGTTTCCAAGCACCCCCTTGAATCCCTGAAGTAACTTTTGCTTGTAGAGCCTCAGGTGCATTACAGCGGGCTGCTTCTGCCTATTAAACTAAACAGAAGACGACTTCTCACACGTAGGAGCGCTCAAGCCACTGCGCCGCGTGAAGAGCGGCCGCGGACAGTCATCCCGCCAGAAGGCGCTCTGGCCCGGCTCGGGCAACGTTCCAGATGCAGTAAAGGGTTTAAGCAGCAGATTCAAATTCCTGATTTTTCTTCGTGGAAATTAACTTTCTTGCCTGAGTTCTGCTGCCACACTTAAAATGAGATTTTTACAATAACACTTAAAAAAACCCACACTCTTCCCGGAACGCACCCAGTTCCTCCAGCACAGGCGACAGTCAGCACCAGACTGCGCCCTCGGGCCAACTCGCCGGAGCCACCAGAGCCAACCCACGGGCGGCTGCTCCTGCAGCCCAGGCCCTGCCCAGCCCAACGAGGACCCTGTCCCGAGGCGCCGCAGCGGCACCTCTCGCTGAGCCCAGGGCCTCTGTGAGGTAGGGAAGCGCATGGGCACCCTGCAGGGCCTGTAGCGGCTCGAATGAGGCGAGGAGCAAGTGCGCGTGACAGCCGGTGCGCAACACAGCGTCATCGCTGCTACTGCTCACTGACCTGCTCCTGGATGCTCTGGAAAGTTTCCATTTTTAAAAGGAAAAAAAAA